TTGACGTAGTTTGCTGATGTCCATGTAATTATTCGTTTTCGCTTTATTCCACAAATACTACAATCCATTGAATATTCGTCTTTCCATTTTTTCTCTTCACTGATACAGCGCGAGCATAAAAGCATAGCCTAAAAATAATACTTAAATAATTCTTCTTCCTTACCGATACACAATTAACGTGATGCAATTGATAATTTTCGTCGTTTGAAGGTATGCCACCTTTCGCAATAACTCCAAGTCGTTGCCATTCATCTTCATTTCGAGTGGGAGAAATTAGAGAACATTCAAAGTCAAAAATAACCTTAATAAATTATTTCTTTTTCTACAATAATAAAAGTAACCAGTATATAATCCCTGTGTCTTTTGGGAACGATTGGCTGGACATAACACGGCTCCTCTGTCCGATGAATCGAATGACAATGTGAACAGAAACGAGAATAGCAAACATGTTCGTTCCCATCTGATTCATCATCTGATTCTTGCTTTTTGTTTGATCGATATATTTGGCCGCAATCCAAACACCTATAACTTTAATATATATTATTTGCTTAAATTTACCTCTTATAAAGTCTGCAAATGTTCTTCATAATATGTTCATGAAAACATTTTGGGTTTCTGAAAATGTTGCTACATTTTTGGCACTGTTTCATATATCCTTCGATTTCTTCACACGGATAATCAATACCCATACCGCAGCATCGGGGACATTTTGCTAGGCATGTTGCACGGTGGTTTTTCTTCTTGTCATAAGTAGTCTCGCAATCAAGACAGTAATAATCAGTTCCGAATAAGGTATTTAATTTTCTTATTCCACTGAAATGCTCATCTTTCAAGAAGAGGCATAGCTCGTTGTGCGCACGTTTTTTTCCTTTCCAGATTGGTTTTGCATTGCCTCTATCTCCAAAAATAGCTATTCTATATTGTCCAGGGTATAGAATATCCAAAAGTTTCTGTACAAGAGGAACATGTTCGTCGACGTTGTATATTTTCTCATTCATTGGATATGGCACTTTGTGTTGTTTCATTTGAGAGAGCATTTCTTTTATCAATGATATTCGCTTTTGTTTTGACTTTTCACCACTCCCTTGTGTCAATCGTATAAATTGAACATTGCCTGTTTTTGAGTTTGGTTTGGAAATATATAATATTGTGAGTTGAACCGCTAGAAGCAAGCAATGTCGATTAAAAGGAGGTGGTAAATCCTCATTTTTTACCTAAAATAATTTTGTTATTTTAAAATTTTTTCTTACTGGTATAAGATTGTTGATATCGATTCCATGGTCCATTTCTCTTCTTTTTCTTCCACTTCCTTCTCGGTCAATACGCGACAATTTGAGAGCCTCTTCATGCGATGGCCCCATAACAATCTTTAAGATTTGAATTTAAAAATGTTACAAAAATGTACCTCGATGTTAATCGGCTGGCTGTAAATAGAAGGTCTCCCCATACGCTGGCCGCTTTGATCAACGGTGTCGAACTGTTCCATAACTACCTGAGGTGTGTTCTGTGCAAGTCCACGATACGGAACTTGAATAGGTCTCTCCAACACAGCGCTTCGAATAATAATTGAACACTTTTGAGATCTTGCTCCTGCAGCACGATATGCACGAACGTAAAAGTGGTCAATTAATTGTTCTAGCAGCATTTCCCTCCCTTGTGGCGCGTCGTCAGCATTGATTACTGTAAAAGATGCCCTAAAAATAAATTTTTTTAATTTCTTTTTCAAAAATACCTGAATACTCCAATCTTGAAGCGATTACTTCGAATATGTTCAATTGAATCCTCTCTAAAATATTTATTGATGTTATGGGCCATCTGTATTGATTATTTCTTAAAAAATTGCTAAAAAAGATTATAAAAACTAAACACAAAATCTCAGAGATAATGACTTGAATAAAACAGAATAGTTATAGCTTAATTATTTTTTACGTTTTATCAACACAGAAATGAATCATTTCGAAAAATTGTTAAACTTCTTATTTATCATTCCATGGAAATCTCGGTTCATAACACGGCATGCAGAACAACACTAAAATTATAATTTAAATAAAAGATATATTATTTACTATGAAATTGAGTGCATACATAACACCTCTATCGAACGCAAGGCCAAGCTTTTGAAGAAACAAGTCCCGCGCTTGACTTTTCTGAAGTGATTCGCATTTATTGCACTAAAAGTATTTATTGTTAAAATCTTTTAGTAATTTTACCTGATGTATTATCCACGCATATTTGTATCGTAATAGTTTTCTGTCTCCATCGGTTTGACAGCTTTCCCCAAGTGTGTAGTACAAAACGCCTGCTACTAAAGAACTCTTTTTAGTAATCATTTTTAATTACCTTTTTCAAAAGAATTTTTTGTTTGCGAGTCGCCTTCCAAGTATTCTTCTGTTTTTTCGATCGCCCTCTCTCCTTAAATTGAAATAATAAAGTTTATTTTCTTTGCTTACCCCAGTTTTGCCCATAGAAGTCCGCAAGAGCTATATTTTTGTCCAAATCATCACCGCACATCTCAATTGTTAGTACAAATATTCCACTTGCTCCTCCTTTGAAAAGATATTCTTCTCTACGCATCTGTTGTTCTTTACAATTATTACATTGGTGGACGAAAATCCCTTTTCTGGGATTTCTAAGCATATCCGATTGAACTAACAACTGCTGCGGCAAAGTTTTGTAAAAGCCTGGAACATTCAATTAATTCGAGTTTAAAATCTTACGTTTTTTATCTTCTTGCTCATGTCGAAGTAGTTTATACTCTTCCTCATCCTTTCCTAGTTCAATTATTTCGTCTTTATCGGGTTCATCTGATTTTTCTTCTTCATCATTGTATATGGGATTTGTCCATTTTTCACCAACCTGCTAATGCAAATCTTTAATAAACTTTTTTTATAATCTTACCTTTTTAGTAGGTGCTTTTGTTTTCTTTGGGACAGGCGGATGACACACTCCTGATTTCCCAGAGCTTGACGTCGTAGTTAACGAACGTTTGCGGCGTGCTTCTACAGCGTTCTTCTTCCTTTTTTGCTCTCGTATGAAGCCACGGATTTCTTCAAGCTCAATTGCACTAAGTTCTTCAATTTCATCACCTTAAGTAAAGATCAATTTCTGGCTTGTTTTTCTTCAAATAATTGAGCCTTTACTTACCTTTGTCACAGCAGTTTCCGCTGTAGAGACGGGTTTCCTCGTGTTCATCACCACCTTCAGAAAATAAATGCATTTATGAGTTATTATCATAAAATGTTTTATTCCCTGCCTTGCATTTTGGCTGTCATTTTTTCTGCCATTTTCATCCACTTCTTTTGCAGTAAAGAAATAGAAAAATAGATTTAAAACGAATAAAATTATTTAAATTTAAAATTATTTATATTTCTTTTGAAATAAATAAATGGAAAAAATAGATTTAAAACGCTTAAAATTATTTAAATTATTATAAAATTTATTTAGATTTAAAATGTTTATTGGTATTTAATATAAATATTTATTAAGGACAAAATATTTAGGAAGTTTGGAGATTTGGTCCGAAGAGACGATGTTTTAAAACTGATGCTGACTACTGAAAACTGATCGGTTTTTATACTGGAGAACTCAATGTACTTTGATCGCCCATTAACCCTCCCTCCCTTCCATTAACTTTAAGCCAAACCACTTAATTGATTTTAAAATCCATTAGTCACATTCTTTCGATCCACTTAAGGCTTTTAATTAATTTTTCTCCATTAAATCATGCGCATACATCCATTAGTGCCCCCCCCCCATTTTTATCCTTAATAGCTGGTTTTTCGAATGCCCTGGGGGTATTTAAGCAGATATTTTTCTGTTCTTTTTTTCATTTATTTTTTTCGAACTTATTTTACTATAATTTATTTTATTTATTTATATATTTTTTAATTTTACATTTTTTAAATATTATTTTTTATTAAATACAAATTTTTTGTTTTAATAAATTTTTATATTTTATTTTTTATTTTATTTTTATTTTTTTATTTTTATTTAATAAATTATTTTTTAATATTTTTTAAACTTTTTATATTATTTTTTATTCAATTTATTTTTATTAATAAATTAATATTACATTTATATTTTTATAAATTCTTACTATTTTTTAATAAATTTTTTCATTACTAAATTAATAATATTATTATTCAATTAATATTAAATTAATATTTTTTATGAAATTTTAATATTTTTTATAAATTATTTTAATTAATAAATTAATAATTTTTTTATAAAAATTATTTTTTTAATACATACTCTAAAATCCCCCATGCGCATGCATTCCATTAATGGGAACTCCCCAGTCTTTAATCGAATGTTTTGATTACGTGGTTTTTAAGTGGTTGTTTTTTATAGAATTTTTTAAAAATTTTTAAAAAATTTTTAAGTGGTTATTTAAGTGGTTTTTAAGTGGTTTTTTAAGTGGGAGTGGTTTTTAAGTGGTTTTTTTAAGTAAAATTTTTAAAATTTTTTTAATTATAAAATTTTTTAAAATTTTTAAGTGGTTTATACGTGGGTTTTTAATTGTTTTTTAAGTGGGGTATTTAAGTAAAATTTTAAAATTTTTTTAATTATAAAATTTTTTAAAATTTTTAAGTGTATTGTGTGTTAATTGAGTAACAACTGATTACAATAGTACTAATCCCTTACCAATTGATTAAAGGTGGTAACTACACAAAAGATATCATTTTCTTTTTTTGTAGTAAAACCGGATTTTAAAACGTTATTTTTGTAGTAAAACCCGGTAAGATACTACTTGTTAGTTTGTAAAATATTTTAAATAATTTATCTTGAAAAAGGAATATGTATACCCATTTTTATTTAAATAAAATTTAAAAGTATCTTTTCAAACAATTAAGTTCCTTCTTAAAACAACCTAATATATTTTTAATTATATTTTTGTTGTTTCCATTAGCAACGAGAGAAAATAAAAAAAATATTTTTTTGTCAAAATCTAAAAAATATTGCCTTAAAATTGAAAAAAAATTTCTTTAAAAATATTTTAAATGTCCTTATTCCAATTTCAAGAATGGTTCTCTGCTTCTCAACAAAATTCATTCTCCCTTGCTGTAGCAAAAATAATTGGAGAAAGAGGTGTTTTTCTAATTGAAATTTTTTTGAAATTTGTTTGTTTTTAATTCAAAAAATTAATTTTTTGAATAAGATAATTTATGTATCTGATTAAAAATTAAAATAATTTAGAGTCTAAATTTTAGACCAAATAATTGTTGGTTCACTTGATGGAATACTTACAGGTATAAATATTTTATTTTGATATACTAGAGATTTTTAAAAATATTTTTTTTTCAAAAAATAATTTAAAAATACTATTATTTTTTTTTCAGTTTTTGATCCAGGAAGAGAGCCAAACCATCAAAACGAGATGGGAGTACTTTCTACATTACAAATTGGCCGTCCAATTTTGCAATTATCTACCGGATATTTTTTACCTTCTTATGGCCCAGAAACAATAATTATTGTTGCTTTAACCTCTTCAACTTTAATTTATTTTAAAATTAACCAAAATAGTTTGTTGGGAAATTATTTAAAAAGAAGCTTTTTTAATTTTTAGCTCAATCTTTATTTGAATGTGAACAAATTTTTGAACATAAAATTCCTGGCCCTCCAGCTTTTAATTTCTGTCAAGGCATATTTTCTTTTTAATTCGGATCATTAGTTTACATAAAAAAATTTTTTAAATTTTATTTCATCTTCAATTTTGAATAATCCTCAATCTTATATAAACTTTTTCCATCCCCGTGGGCCGAGACCGCTTTATATGTAATCTCGTACCTTACATTTTCATTTTTAGGCTATTTCGGACGAAGCAATGTTGAACAAATTTGTGTTCAATCACTCCAAGGAGGCCTTATCCTTTATGAAGCAGAAAACAGAGTTCTTCAACGCTCAATTCCAGATATTTTACATCCCGGTCCTTTGGGATACTCCTCCAATTCAGAATCCATGTAAAAATAAATTTAGGTATATTTGATATTTAAAAATTAAAAATTAAAGAATAATCGCTTCTGGTGGTTATTTAAGGTCTGTTAGATATTCTACATTAATTGCTACTGGAACAAAACAAACTTATGTAAAAAAGATTCTAAAATTAAGTATGTGTTTTGACAGTTTTTTATTAATATGTAGATTGACTGGACAATACCTCTCGGTGACTGGGCTGTTCAAATGGTTATACTTCTCGGTGATCCTTCTGCCTCCTTAAACTCCCGCCCTTCTAGTGCCGTTTTCAATTCAAATACAAATTTAAATTCTTCTATTTCGATTAATACAAATGCTCAAAATACTACAGGGTTTCCACCTTCAATTATTGTTTTATGCAAAAGAATTCTTTATTGTTTTACACATAATGGAAGTTTGAGATATTCTATTAGACTTCAAGCTGTTGCTTTATCCTTACATATATTGTCACAAGGTATTTCTAATAACATATCGTAAAATCTCTAATAGAATGCCCGGGCACTCTATTTTTCAATCACATTCAAAGGAGGCCCTCCCCTCCAATGTAATACCCCCTGTTTGAGGGGCATTCAATTGGAGGTGAGAATTATACACAGCTCGACGAGTTCTGAATGAGCAATTCGAGTCCTTTCGAATTTTAACACAAAAAAAGGAAAAAAGAAAATAAAGAGAGATAACCGACCTACCTATTTATAAACATAAAAAACAAATTTTTTAATAATTAATTAAAAATAATTTATGTAGGTAAAAGTTCTGAAAACAAACTAATTCAACAACAAACAACTTTACCCATTTCTATTATTGTTGGAACGGCTGGAAAAACATTATTATTTTATTCGGATACTAAACTAATTTGGAATGTTCAATTACCGTTTGCTGCACAAATTGTTGAAACTTGTACATTTAGGTGTTTTTAATTAATTAAAGATAAAAATTAAATTCGAGGTTTTTTCGATTACTTTGGGTTTGGGGTTTTCCAGGATTGAGTTACAGTTTTTGTAAAGTAATATTGGAATCAAGTCTTACTTTTTAATCTCAATTTAATATTTTCAACAAAAATTAATTAAAGTGATTCACTTCGTTCAATGATTGTTTTACTGTCAGAAAATTACGATAAATTACTTGTTGGATATTTAGGGACAGAGCCTTCATTATTTAAAATGCCAGCATCAGAAACTCGTTTTATAGATTTTGAAGAAAAGAAAAAAGAATTGAGGGAATTCGAAAAAATAATTTTTTTAAGTGGAAGGGAAGGAGAAAATAAAGAAGAAAAAATAAATAAAATATTTAATTTTGAAATTTTTATCGATAAAAATTCAAATTCATTTAATGAAGGAATTAAATCAGCAACAATTCAAATTAATTTTAATAATGAAGAAGGAAATAAAATAAATGGAGAATTAATATTAAATAATTTAAATAATTTGTATTGTTTACAAGGAAATCAACAAATATTGAAAGAAATTGAAAAATGTTAAAGTTTGAAAAATTAATTAATAAAAAAAATACATAAATATATACAGTCGTGGACAGAAAGATAGGGACAAAAATAAGTGAACTGAAAATTACCTAGCTTCTCATTTGAAAATCCATTTTCGGGAATAATTTTTTATTTTATTAGATACTCCCTTTAATTCTTTATTTAATGAGTATGTATAAGATTTGCCATATTAATATTTTTTGATACCCAGCCCAAATTTAAATAAGTTGCGCTAATTTTCGAACGACAAAAAGAAGGGGAAAGTCTTTTAACTAAAAATTCACTCAAGCAAAAAATCTACAAAAACTCGAGTAAATATATTTATTGATAATAGGAGGTAATAAAAATAACTAGGCCCATACTTTTAACATTAAATTATTACCTAATTTAAAAATAGAAATTGATACCGTTCTAGCTATTGTATTTTTGGGTATTTATCGGTAGTGGAAGAATGTGCCAATTTAAAAAAAACATGCTAATATTTTCCGGGCTCTATTAGGGATTAAAAATTTATTTTAAAACAAATCTTTGTAAATCTAATAATAATTTTTAGTTTATTCTTTTAATCTCTTTTGTCATGAAAATACTGTTTTGAATAATAAAATTCAAATACTTTTAATTATTGAAGGTTAATTAATTAATTTAAACTTTAAATAAATAATTATTTTCTTGTAGGAGAATATAATTTAATTGAATTATTTATTCCGTTATTTTTAATTTGCCGTGAAGTCCCTCCCCAAAGACAGGCAATATTTAAACTTTCAATAGATTCAACACAACCAGCTTTAGATATTGATATTTTATTTCCAGAATTTTCAAATCAAAAAGAGGAAATTGAAAAAGTAATTTTTAAAAATTAAAAAAAAAAGATTAAATTTTTTTGAGGAAATTTCAAATCAAAATAATCTAGTTGAAGGTAAAAGAACATCAATTGCTTTACAACCATTTTTTGGAGAATCTAATACAACTGTTTCCCTATTTATTTCAACAAAAACAAGTTTTTCTTTAAAAAAATATTTTACTAAAAAGAAAAATATTTTTTAGATCGTTATAGAATTCAATCAGACAATACTGATTTTGTTTTTGTTATATTTTCTGTTTTAATTGAAAGAATTCAAAAAAATCAACCAGAAGCACGTCTTCATTGCCCTGTACCCTTACATTTATGTTTAACTGAAATAGCTAAATATATTGAGGTAATTAATGATTTTTTTCCTAAAATGGACTTCTAATATCTTTTAACATTACAAATATTTAAATGTATGGGCAATGCCAATATTTCCCAATATTTACATATATATTTTAGAGATTCACAAAATAGGGGGTTCATAAAAATCAGTTTATAAAGCCATCTAAAATTCGTCAGAGAATTTTATAAAAAATATTTTTAATAATTTATTTCTAAAAAAGGCCGAGGAAGAATGTGCCAATTTAGAAAAACAAGCTAGTATTTTAGCTACACAAATGCGTCAAGTAGAAACTGTTTTTCTTAGTCGATTAAAGGCTTCTCAAAATGAAAATATAATGGAAAATTATGAAAGGATGCCTGTTGAATCCCTTGTTGAATATAGCCATAAGTAAATATATTATAGTTGATTTTTAAAATGATAGTAAATCTTGTTATCTCCTGCGGGTTTTGACCGCTTTGAGCCTATGTATCTCGGTCCCTAAGTACCACTTATCCCACCCCTCATGCGACTCACATCAGCTCGTCGATGTGAGTCGAATGACAATTCATATGTCAATATCCATCACACATTGGAAGTGATATTTCATTAGAATTCTCAAGGAAACAAAATTTTTAGTCACTTTTGACCTTTAAAAAATTTAATAACTTTTTCAAAGAAAGAACGTTTCTAAAACTTAAAATAAATTTTTGGAAAATATTTATTTTTAATTAATTTGTAGAGAATTAATGAAAACTTTGGATCAATTAAATTCAATTTCACAAAGCCAGTTAAACACAAAAAAGAGGAAATCACTAGGATCTCTTCTTAATTTAATGAATTCAACTCTTAAATTAAATGGTATACAATTGCCTTTTGATGGGAGAATTTTAGAAGGAAGTGATTTGGTAAAAATAAATAAATTTGGATTATTTTTAAAGAAAAAAATATTTTTTAGACTTTAAGTGAACAATTATCTCAATTACTTAATTCACAAACAGAAATTAATAAAAAATTAAATTCTGCTGAAATTGGACGTATTTTAACTAATTTTTGTGAAAGAAATGAAAGAAATTTGGGAGGAATTGTTGAAGAGGAAGATGAGGAGGAGGAAATGGAAGAAGAAAATGAAATAAATAAAGAGGAAGAGAAGAAAAAAGAATTAAATGAGGCTTTGATTAAATCTGAAGAATTTATGGAATTTGTAGAATTACAAAGTGGATCATTACAACAAGATGGAAAATTGGATGATTTATAACAAAAAATATCTGTATCTTGTATATTTTTTATAAAGAATATAATTAAATTGTAAATAACGCATATAGTTTTAAGCTTACACAAAGATAGAAAGGATAATTTGAAAAAAGGGAGCAAAGTCTCACACGACTTTGTTTCTAATTTATTTCTACGCAACACCGGCGTAAAAACTTTTCAAAAAGTTCAAGACATAGAAGTTAAAAATTCTCCAAAATGTCAGTAGAACTTTTTAATTTAAAAAGAATACTTTAAAAGTCCAATTTAAAAAAACAAAATAAAAAAATACGTTTAACATTCATCTTCAAAATCATCTCTTTCATTATTATATAACTTAACATGTTTCTTAATTTTTGAATCTCTTGCCCAAGTAATTTGATCAGATTGTGTACGAGTAACAAGAAAAGCAGGATCAGTAACTAATTCAATTCCAACACGGATATGGCCTTGTTCAACAAATTGACTAGCTTTTTGGATCTAAAAAAGATGATAAGCAGATCAACACCCTAAATCTTAAAATCCCGATGAGAGCTACGGGAAGTAAAAATTGTTTTAATCAAAACAAATTTGCAAATTTTGTCTCGTCAAATTTTTCATAAAGATTTCTGAAATTAAGGATTATTATTTCGATTAAATGCCAAACTTAATGGAAAAGGAAAGTGTGCCCCCCTCCAACCGAAAAACTAATTTTACATCAAGGAACATATTTTCTCACACCAGAATGTAAATACTACCCAAAAATAAAATAAAAAAATAACCGTTGTTGCCATTTCTGCTTTATATAAAACAACAGGCAAACGTCTTCTACAAAAAGATGAAGCTGTTACACCTTCACATCGTTCCAAAGTATCTGCCGTTTCAATAAGGCCCATATCATATAATTTTCCAAGTAAACGACGAGCAAATATTAATTTATTTGGATTTTTGTCATCCAAATCACGAATTCTTTTAGCAATTTCTCTGACCTAAATATAACTTCATAATTAAGAGAATTTTGTTTCCCAGGTCTAAATTAACTTATTTTCAAACAAATTTACCTAAACCAATAACTTATTCAGAAATTTTATTAAAAATTAACCAACCTCTCTAGATAATTTATTATAAATTGTGTAATGTTCTCTCTTCTCAACATGATATCTTCTCATTATTTTATTTTCATGTAAGCTATTATCCACATCTGGCCAATGAATAAAATCAACTTTTTTGAGAAGCTTCTTTTCATGATATTTTAATTTACGAACCATTTTTCTATTTAAAATAATTTTAAAAAATTAAAATAAAAAATAAATTAGAATGCATAACAAATAAAGACTGAAAAAAATACAAGAAATCATTTTACAATTAAACAGTTTTAAATGGCATACATTTAACATGAAGCAATCAAAATAAAATCATTTTAGAAAAAAGTAGAAATATTCGAATAAAGTATAAATTTATTTTTTTTATTATTTCTGTGTTATTTTTAAGGTTATAGTTTAAATTTATTAATTTTTAAAAGAAATTAAAGGCACACACAAGATGTAAAATATAAATTCTAATCAAATAGAGATGACAAATAAACATAAATATTGGTAATATTTAACCGGACAGACCCCCCTTTCCTCCCCAATTTTTCCCCTATATTTTTGCAAAATGGTAAGATTTTTCCTTTACTCCATCCAAATTGCCTTTCTAATGTTTGCCTACAATCAATTAAAAAGGATTATTTAATTTATACATACAAGTGCAAGTACACGCCAAAAAGAAAAGGAAGATTATTTTTTGGTATTTAACAAGTATGAGAGTTTTGATTGTTTGTAGGCAAAAATTAGAAAGACAAGTTGGATGGAAGAAAGGAAAAGGTCTGACCATTTTGCAAAAATATAGGGGAAAAATTGGGGAGGAAAAAAGGGGTCTGTCCGGTTCAATATTACCCAAATATCATTAATAAAAATTATTCGTCGTGATTCTGAAAATCAGCTAGTTTTCAGATGACTTAAGTTAAAAATTAGAATTTATCTAGGGAGCCTCATTTTCTTTAAGAAAAAATTAAAAATCAAACTGAAAATCTTACAAATGGGAAAATCAATAAATTTTCTATATTCCTCTACAAACGTTTGAAACGTTTTGAAACAAAATCAAATGATCCACTGCATGGAGATCCACCCCCATTAGAAGAGTGCAAATGTCGTTTCCGGTGACGATGAACTTGATGTTGAAGGAAATTTCCAAGGCCAATATTTCGATGGGGTGAAGGACCCGTAGAGGGTGAATTGCTGCTGTTGGACAGTGGATCAAGCACCTTTAAAGGAAATAAAAACAATTCACAGAAATGTTCTATTATCAGGTCGTTCCTCGATTACCGAACCTCCAGTCATCTACAGAATATTTTAAAAGAAAACCTCTTGAAATAGAAAGACTGCCTGTTGAGTTCCTCCAGCTGGGTGTTCGGCCGGTGGAATTGCTGCTGTCGCGATGTTGGATTGTTCACTTCCACGCTGTTGTTTGGCTCCAAAAGCAGCAGTTGGCAAAAGATCATATTTAGATAATAAAGCAATAATATCTGCTACATCAATCTAAAGTTTAGAAAAAACATTTAATTCATTTCAAGCAAAAAACTTTGTTTTTGTAGCGACACATTGCAGAAATTTCTCGAGAAAGAGCCAAACGACCTTTGAGAAAACCACGATCAAAAGAACGTTTTTTCATTTCCAGTCCATGCTAAAAAATAATTAAATTTTGTGTTTTATAATTAAAGGAAAGAAAAATCATCTAAATTAAGACAGAGGGAGCAAAGAATGCGCGAGAAAGTAAATAAGAGTTCTTACAATAAGCATTACGAACCCGCAAAAATTATTAGTAAAAATGCTAGAAGGACAAGCAATAAATCCAGAAATTAAGATGTTGATAAAAAATTTAGAAATAAAAATGTATTTAAGGTTATGCTTTTAATTTTCTAATTTTTTAAACTTGAAACATTAATGTTTTCGAAAGGTATACCTTTTAATGAGTATAAATGTGATATTTCAGAAAAAATTAAACAAAACATTAAATTCATTTTTTAACCTTATAAAGCTGGGTCGTTGAAGCAGCTGCAGATTGGAGAGTTCGCCAATTGGAATTTCGATAAAGATGAGTAACTTGATCAAAATTATAAATTTCTAGCTTCTTTATAAAAAAACCTGAAGTAGCACAAGTCTCAAATTCATTCCAAAGTCCATCATCAGAAGAATCCTCATCTGGCAATGATTCATTTCGATTGCTTTCTGACATTAGTATGAATACTGTATATATTCTTTAAACTCGCCACTTAACTAATTTTTAACCCTGATAATATACCTAGAATTAAAATAAAATTAAAAGCATAAAGAAAAAAATGACAACAAAAATCAAGCAAGAAAACAATAGATTGCAAAATAAAAGAAAATTTGGGTAGGGGACGACTCAGAGCCGCCGATTCAGAGTACGGGGAAAAGGGGACGATTCAGAGCACGAAGAATAAAATATCTAAAATCGAGATTTTTGGAATCCAATTGATTTATTATTTTGCTTTTTAGTATCTTTTTTGTTTCCTTTTACTGTTTTAGAGAGATAAACAACAATTTGCACAACCAAACACAATTATTCAATGCCACAAAATAATTTTTAATAAAATTTTTAAAATTTTCTTTAATTTTTCGGTTTGTTTAGTAAAATGATGAAATGGTGTTGTTATGTTATAATGGCATAAATAATCTGTAAAGAAACAGATGAAAACAATTAAATGATTTGAAATATGTCAAAAAGTCAGCAAGACTCTTTTGTCTTTACATTTATTTTCAGTCTCAGCACAAACCTAAACCTTTAGGCTTGCTTGTCAATAGAGTCTCGGCGACTTAGCATCGAAACGCCTTTTTCTATGCCATAACTTTTTTTATTTCGATCATTTCCAGAAATTTTCTTTATCAATTAGAATCTATATTTGTTCTTATTCTTTTTATTTACTTTATGAAAGGATCCGATCATTTTTTAGAAAGTTACACCCGCCTAAGTATGTTGGTACTTATTTAGTTCCCCCCCCCAGTCAGTTTTTTCGAAAATTATTTAAAAATGGTCAGTCTGAACAACAATTGTAGAACCCATCGAACTGTGTCGAATGACACCAAAATCAACAAAATCCGACTCGATTTGACCGAAATACAGACCCCTAAAAATTGAACAACCATGGGGGTGATTTTTTGAAATAAAAAAAAATTTACCCAAACGATAGCTCATTCGAAAGAGCTCGTCGAGCTGAGTCGAATAAGACCAAAATCAACGAAATCGGATGAGATTTGACAAAGTTACGACATTATTTAGACCTACCGGAGTCGACGACTTATGTCATAACTTTGTCAAATCAAGTCGGATTTCGTTGATTTTGATCTCATCAGACTCAGCTCGACGAGCTCTTTCGAATGAGCTATCATTTGTATAGATTTTCGTCTTTATGATTTTGTGCCACTGTGGTTTAGGGGTCTGTATTTCGGTCAAATCGAGTCGGATTTTGTTATTTTGGTGTCATTCGACACAGTTCGATGGGTTCTACAATTGTTGTTCAGACTGACCATTTTTAAATAATTTTCGAAAAAACTGACTGGGGGGGGGGGAAACTAAATAAGTACCAGTATGTTAAATCACGATTATTCGCAGTTAACGGCTCCTAACTTTTTTGAAAGACGGTAAAACTAAACATTTTCTATGAAAAAATAACCAGCACATCCAGAGCTTTTAATTAAAGCAAAAATTATTTGGATTGATTTAAAAACAAAAAAGTTATATCCCAAAAACTTTCGTTTTGATGCCATATTTTAAGACTCTTTCGTTACCTGGTTACTTTTAGTCTAAACCTTTTGAAGCCTAAACCTTTAGGTTTTTAAACATTTGAGTCTCACCACTCTTCAAATTTTTTTTAATTCTAGCTTTATTAATCGTTTGTTCTTCTTAATTAGTGTATAAAGATGAACTTGAACTGATATTCTGGTAATAGAAATCCCATAAATTAAGAATCACATAGATAATTTTTGAATTTATTTGTGAATTCCTTGGAGAATTTCATTCCCATCTCTAAATTTAATTTAGTATTTTACTCATAAAATTATTTTCCGCCATTGAATAATTGCCGTTTGTTGTCCAAATTGTTTTCTCTCCCTAAAACAATAAAACAAAACAGAAAAGAATAAAAAGCAAAAAAATAAATCAATTGCTTTCCAAAAAACTGGATTTACAGGGTATTCTATTCTATGTACTCTGAATCGTCCCCTTTTCCCCGTACTCTGAATCGGCTACTCTGAGTCGTCCTCTATCCTACCTGAGTACGAGACGAAAAAATTATGCAGGTCATAGGACTACTGGCCATCATGCTCTACACAATGACTCCTTAGTCAATGTAGCCGTTTTTGGCGAAAAACTTATTTTAGTAGCCTAAACTAGTGGACCTATAGTTAAATGGAGTAATTGTATATTTCATATTTCGAGTTTCACATTTCAAAAAATGTTTATGGTTTCTATATAGAAAAAAAAATACAAATTGCTTTTTTTATTTTTTAATACATACAGTCAGACCTCGTTTTTATATATGTATTCTTTGTGACTTTAAAAGTTCTTTATAAATGAGATCCTTTGTAATAGAAAATAACTATAAATATACATGTTTATTTATAAAAATAGTTTGAAAATTTGTGAAAATGTAAAAATATTCGTTTATAATAATAGAAGTAAATTATGTATTATTAGCAGGGTTCGTATATGTGCGGATTTTTTCTCATCTTGAGGTTTTTTGTTAGGTCAATGAAGGTTATTTTAGAAATGTGGATTCGCGGATTTTTGTGGTCTTTTGAAGATTATGAGGATTTTTTATATTCTCTTGTAGTTTTTGGAATATTAAATTTTAAAAATTCGAGATACGAACCCTGATTATTAGGTTGAGCAAAATTATTAAGAAGAAATACTACAGAAACTAACTAGTATGTGATCAATTTAGAGAGGAAAATATTTTAAAGTTTTTGAGGGAAATTATAATTTATTTTTTAATTATTATTAATCACATACATAAAAAATAACTTAAAAAATTAAAAATCGTAATTATTTATTTATTTATATATTTTCTCATTAATTTATTGCTGCAAAAATATTTTTCCATTTTGTTTTTCATCTCATATTATTTTTTTAAAAAGTCACTGCTCTAGGTGATGTATCTATATTTTCCTGCATTCCCCCAACAACTATTTGTTGTTGTTGTTCTTCTGTTTCAATTCCAAACGGATCGGCTACATCATCTGTTGAAGATGTCGATGTTTCCATTGTTGGATTATTAACTTCAAAATGTTCACTATTTCCATTAGAAACAGATCCAGTATTTAGAAAACGTTGATGTAATTTTTTAACTAAATCCATATGTGGGGGTTCCATTCCAAATTCTGCTCGATATCTTAAAAAATATTTTCTTTTTAATTAATTAAAAATAATCTCCACACCTTCTCGCCACTTGTGCAAAAGAATTTGTCTCTTCAAACCAACAAACTAATTTTGCCTTTTCTAAAACACTAAGTACACGTACTCCAGTCGAGAATGCTGAACGAGTTATATAATGCACCATTTTTATTTTTTAAATTAATCTTTTATCTAAAAAAATAATTTTTGGTTAATTTATTTTTAAAAAATAATTTATTTTTATTTTTATTTAAAGAGCAAAAAACTTCTAAAAAAATTAGGGACAAATAAACGAATGTTCAAAAAATTGTAAATAAAAAATATATTTAAGTGTACACACAAAAATAGAAAAAAATAGAAAACTCGTGCTATTTTCCTCTATTTTGATGGAAAAAAATAAACTATTTTTTCTTATATTTTGATAGATTGGAAAATAAAAAAATGAGAGGGAAGGAAGGAATAAATAAATTTGTGTGGTTTTAAATTGAATTTTATTTTAAATTAATTGAGATTTAAAAAAATAATAATGCAAAAATTTGTAAAGCTTATGTATATTAACAATTTTTGTTAAAAACTTCAAAATAATTATATATATTTTTTAAAATTAAAATGTATGATTTCAAAAAGTTTAATTTAAAACAATTAATTAAAAGAGGCAGCTGCTTTATTGGTGCAAAAAGAAAAAATATACCAAAATTTATCTTTTATTTTATAGAACTTCTTTCCTCAGAAAAAAGAAAATAATATTTAAAAGAATGTGATACTTTAGTAAAACTTTAAAAATTAATTAAAAATATTAAAAGAAAATAAAAATAAAAATTACTTTTAAAAATTATTGAACTTTAAATTTTATAAAATAAGGTGACAATTATGTTTGTTTGTTGTAGTAATTTTTTTAAAATGTTTTATTTTTTTGACTAAAAAATAATGAAAAGAAAAATTAAATTGATTAAAATAATTTGTTAAAAATTAAACAGTACATTTTAAAAAAACTGTTAAATTAAAAAGATAAAATCATTTAAAGAATTATAAACTAAACATTAATAAATTTGTGTTGACGAATGAAAGAAAAAAAAAGATAAGAATTAAAAATAAATAACGTGTAATATGTAATTGTTAATGGACAATAAAAAAAATAATTATTTTATAAAATGCAACATTAAATGTAAGGAGTTGGTTAGATTTTTATTAACAGAAAATATCTTTAAAGATAATATACATAAGTATACGTATACTAGGGTTTCGCCTAGAATATACTAAGGTTACACCCCCATGTTCAGGGGAGTTTATGGATCAGTTTCATTCAATTTGCTTTTGACAATACCCCTCTAAACCTTCTACTTTTAAATGTGGTCTATTAATTGAAGAATCTAATAGGCTAAAAATTAATTAAATAAAATAACGAAATTTTTTAGTCGATTTTTAGCCTTATTTTGGTCGAATTATACATACTATTTTTACTTTCTTCGAGACGAGAAAAATCCTGACCACCCAAAAGACAACAACTGTCCAATACTTTCTAAAATTTTGTTAATACAATGAATGAATTGAATACTTTATACATTTTATATAATTATTTCTTTAGAAGAATGGGGGGAGGAGACTTCAAAGAATATAAAATTAAATCAAAAAAGCATTCTTTGTGCTCCCCAATAAGACCATATTTGGTTGGAAATATGTGGAAAGATTTTTATATAATATTCTTTGCTCTCCCAACAATTTTGATTGTTCTAATAAATAAATAAATGGTTGTTGATTGTAAATAATCAATCATGATGATGAAAACGTGTACTTATGTACATAATTTTGCAAAAATTGAAAATAAATTCTTGACTTTGTAGGGAAAAATAAATACGTAGAAAATAAAGTAATTAAATTAAAATTATTCTAAAAATTTATTTTTTTAAATAAAATGTTGAGAAAATGTAAAGAAATGGTTTTAAGTACATTTAAAATAAAAATTTTGTCACATTATTTTAAAAATGAGGAAAGAAATGATTAATTAAATAAAATCACCTTGTTTAAAGAATAAATAGTACAACCATATCAAAAAAGTATTTAATGAATATTTATTTATGTATCATTTAATACATTTTAATTAAAAATATATTAAAATTAAAAACAATTTAAAAAAGTTTAAATTTAAAAATTTTTTCTAAAATATGTACCAAAAAATACTACAAATTTATTTAATTTTTATCAAAGTTTACACCATTAAATTTTCTTCCATTTTTAAATAAATGTTTGTCTCGAGTGTTGAACTGATTTATTTCTTTTTCATTATTGTTTAGTAACCATGTGATATTTGTATAGACAATAAATACTATAATAAATTTATGTAAACAATAAAATAAAGTTTTACTTTGAATTTTTAATGATTTTTTTAAATTTTATTTAAAAAATTTTTAAAAAAATTATATTTTTTTGTTTCTGTAATTTATGTACAATTGGAGATTTCTTAAAAATACAACATTGAGGATGAAACAATTGTATTTAAAAATATAGGGGATATTTACTATGGCATCTCCCTCAATTCAATGATCAACCAAATTTTAAAATTTTTATTTCCAATTAGGATCTTTAACAAAATTTCAACTTTTTACTCATAATTCTTAAATAATAATTAATTAATTAAAAAAATAAGTAAAAACAAATATTTATTTATTTAATAGAATCAATAAAAATGCCAAATAATCATTTTAAATCAAAATATATAATTAAGTAAAAAATATATAAATTTAATTTTTGGTAAAATAAAAGCCTTTTTTTAATTAAAATAAAATTTTAAAAATAATTAATTAAAATATTTATGTTAATTTAAAGGAAAAAAAGAGGAAAGAAAAATAAAAAAAATTATTTTTAGTTTAAAAAAGAAAAATAAATATAATAAATAATTTTTAAATATTTTTGAGAAAAATTTCGTAAAAGAAAAATAATCAAAATTTCTTCTTTATCTAGCTTTGGCTTTGATTTTTATTTAATAGCTCGTTGTTATATTTATTTAGATTTACTTTAATAATGTTGATTAATTAACTATTCTAAATTAAATTTTAAAGAAAAAAGCAACAAATATTTTCAATATCATTCAAAATAAAGGAAATATTATTGGTCTACAGAAAATATAAAAACATTATTATAGGTAATTTATTAAAGAACATTAATTGGTCTGAATTTTTAAAATTAAATTTTGAAAAAAAATATTCAATTTTATTTCATAAAATTAAAAAAATCAGACCAATCTGATAATTAAATAAAAAAAATGCAGGCAAACAATACCAACAAAACTAAAAATTATTTTATTTATTTATTAGAATTCTGTTGGAATTGCTATAGAAAATATATATAAATTTATTTAATTGAAGCAATTATTTTATTAAATTAGAGAAAGAATTGTGTTTCTTGTTTGTTAGAATTCTATCAATTTTTGAAGAGAATAATAATTATTTTTTAAAAAATAATTAGAGATACTGGCCAGTGTATATTAAATACGTGGTGGTTGGTTGGTTGGTGGTAGAGGTTAAATAAAAATAAAAAAAAAGATTAAATGTTACACTAAAATAAAGTGGGAAATTTGTAAAATATTAAATTTAATTGAAATTAAAATTTTAATAAAAATTATAATTTTAATATTTTCTTTCAAATTTTATTTTAAAATACTAGTGGTTAAACTAAAAAATAAAACATAAATAAGTATGTACTATTCTGTTTTTCAATTAAATGATTATTAATGCGGTGGAGGCTCTTAACAGACAAATACCTTATAAAAAATTAAATTTAGGTTTCTGGAAAATTTAATTTTATTATTTTCTATTAAGAAATTCCAATTCCACCTAATTTTTTCAGTTTTTCCAGATTCCAATTGCTCAATTATTCCCCATATTTTATAGGAGATTCATAAATGCTATTGGACATTTTATCCATAAAATCTTAAAAATATTTTATTTTTTTCTCAAAAACGAGTTTATAAAAATCTAAAATAAATAACCGAGTCATTAAGACAAATAAAACAAAAAATTGAATTTTTACCTAAAAATTCCTTTAATTTTTTAAAATTATTTTTCTAATTATTTTAATCACTACCCTAACAAAATACTCAAACTTTTACATATTCCCCAATTTAATTAACTACTTAAAAATATATATTTAGTCTTTATTTTTTTCTCCAATAAATTATATTTTACAAATAAAGTCTCAGAACAGGCGTTGTACTCTATTTTAATGCAAAAATTTGGATTTAATTAAAGATATAAAAGCATAGATTAAATAGATTAAATTATTTTTAGAGGTGTTTTTAAATAACTGAGACAAAAACAAAAAAATAAATATAGACAATAAATCAAAACAAAATAAATATATTTAGATTAATTAATAAATTTATAGAAATATATATATTTTTGTTTAAAATATATTAATTTAAATAAATTTAATTTTTCTTTAAAGTATTAGAGAATGTCAAGTTAGTCAGAAAAAAAGCTGTATTATATTAAAGAGAAGTTTAAAAGTACAGAAAATAAAAGACAAAATTATACAAATTTCTCTTTTAATAATACAGCTTTTAAACATTTCCAAAACAATTTAAATATTCTTTATTTAAAAATAATACCATGATTGCTTTTTTAATTAAAAACACACAAAAATTAATTTCAATTTAATCAAATATAAAATATAATTTAACAAATGAGGATTTTATTTTAAATTACTCGTCGCCTTATATAGAGAAAATAAATTTGTAGAATTTTAAATAATTTGAGAGAATTTTGTAAAATATAATAAATTGTTATAACAAAAAAAAAGAAATATATAATTTTGAGAGTGCAAAATAACCAAAATAAAATAAAGAGGCTAGCTGACCTTTTTTTATATTTGAGAAATGATTAAAAAATAATTTTTTTCTATTAAAATATTCAAAAATATTTCTCTCTTTTTTTCTTAATTTTCTTTAAGAATCATTTCTCAAATATAAAATTTAAAATAAAAGACAAACAAATATATAAATTAAATAAATAATATTTAAATTTAAATAAACACACAAAATAAACTCTCCAAACATAATTTTTTAAAAATAAATTTAATAACATTTTGTCCCATTTGAGAAGGAAAATGCCAAAGGAGATGAAGAACTTGTTGAAGAAAAAAGTTCAAAAATATCAACTCCTCCATTTGTCGTCACATTTTCTTTCATTATTCCATTTGTTGTAAGCTCAGTAACTGCCCCAATTGTTGTTGTAGTCCACGGAGAGAAAGCACTTTCCCCATTCGAAAATGTTGAACCAAATTGGTCAAATTGTTGCTGTTGTTGACCTCGAAGTTCGTTTGAAACAGAACGAAATAGATTATGAGGTTGTTGTTGTTCTTGACGTTTTTGATTGTCTGGAGCTGGGTGAGGATCACCAATGGCACCAAAATTTGAAAACTAAAAAAATAAAAATAATTAGGGGGATAGAGGGGGAGTGAGGGGCAAATTTTGAAATTACCTTTTTCAAAGTCTAAAATTGTCAAACCAAAAAATTCGACAGAAAATTAATCAACAAATTATCGAAAAAATCACCTTAACAGCCCCATTTCCAGCATCCAATTCAAGTGAATTAAAAAACAAATGCAAATCATTTGAAGAAGCAGCTGAGTTAGAAGTTGTCGAATTGTGTAAATCAGCTGATGGAGGAGGACAACAATTAATGTTGTTGTTACCATTAAAGATAACAGACATTCCAGATTTGTTATTATTTAAATAATGCTGAAATTGTTTCCTTTTTTAAATTTAAAAATAATTACAAACATCAATTTCTGTTTGTTGTCCATATCCGTTAACAAAATGATTTGAATTAATTCCATTTTGATGTTGTTGAAAGTATGGATTTGAATCCTTAACTCCACCATTTAATAATCCAACATTACGAGGACAAACAACAGCCAATGCCCCATAATTTGGTCTGTTGACAGAGTTGGATTGGAGAGCTGCTTGTTGGGCTTGTAAAGCAGCAGACTTGAAAAAACGATTAAAATTAAAAATATTTTTTAAAGGCTGATGTACTATAATAATATTGCCAATCCAAAAAAATAGATAATCATCATTTAGAGAAACTATCCAGACTTAACCCCCAATTACATATTCAACTAATTTAAAAAATATTTTCAACTCACATTCAAATCAAAATTAGCAATAGAAGCATTTGGATCAGTTATCGGCATATTTCCTGTTCTTTGATAAATATGGTTTTCAATTTCGCGACGTGCTGCTTCAACATTTTCTGGCAAGCCAGTTACTTCGAAAATAGGTTCACGTTCACGACTTGGTGTTATTATATACGTATGGGTATCCTGAAAATTTGTAAAATTAAATAAAATTTTTTTCTATAAAATTTACCTGCTGAATTCGTTTAATTGTATTCCCTTTCGGACCAACAACCAATCCAACAACACGAAGCGGCACACGCACATAAGCAGTTACGTGACCAGGTGCTGGGCACGCACCCTTTACAAAAATAAAAAAATTAAATTAAAGTCGGTCCCTCCAATTTTTATTTGGCAACAATTTTATTAAACAAATAATAAAAAAATATTGCAAACGAGTAAGTATTGTTTGCCTGTTTTTCTTTATAAAAAAGAAATTTGATAGCTTTATTTTTACTAAAATATTTTTATATATTTTTTTTGTATTGTCTAAAGGAAGGTTTTTTATTTGCTTTACAAAAAGGTGTATTTATTTGCTTTCCGGTATTTTTAAGAAAAATATTTTTGAGAGACTCTCTTTTTGCTTTTTCCAACAATTAGAGGGGAGGGGGGGGGGCAAAACAAACAAACGAAAAAAATATTTTTTTATTATGACGCCAAAAAATTGATTTAATTTTGCAAAAAATTATTTTTAAAAAAAATTTTATTTTTACCTGGCTATGCCGTCGCGAAGCACGTATTTGAGTAAAATGTTCAGCTGCACATTCAATTTCACGTCTAGCCTCAACAACATCCTCGTGGCGGCCGGTAACGACAAAGACAGGCTCTTCACCACGAACTGGAGTTTTTATATAAGTATTGGTTTTGGCTCGAAGTGCTTTGATTTTACAACCTTTAAAAAGAGAAAAAAATAAATTAAAAAAGGTTTTGTAATAATTAGGGAGCACTTAAAGGGATCAAAATTAATAACCTTTATTTATTTAAAAATTATTTAAAGGTAAGTTTTATTTGCATAAATTATTAAAAAAGTAGAAAGGATAAAATTAGAAAATAAACAAAAGATGATTAAGCATAAGTAAACCTATTTTAAAAAATTTATATTAAAAATATTCTTAAAGAAATCCCTCATTAAAATAAGTGTAGATAGGGACTCTTTCCTCGAGTCGGACCAAATATTCGATGCTTTTTTCGAATCGAGTTAGACAATTTTGGAATCCCTAAAAGAGTACCGAAAATTCTTAAAAAATATTTTTGTGTTTTACCTAAAAATGTCAATCCCCCCCTCCCTTCTCATATTACAAAGGAAAAAATGTTAGAAAAAATAAAGGAAAAAAATATGAGAAAATATTACAAAAAATCAAAAATCAAAGCAATAAAAAATGTGATGGATATTAAAGAAATATTCCCTCTCTTCAAATGTTGGGGGGGGGGGGGGTTTTAAATCTAAAATTTGCTTCTTCTTAACGGCAATTGGTTTTTTGGATTTATTTATAGTTCTTCAAAGAAAAAAAATATTTGAAAAAATGACCCATTTTAAGAGGATTTAGAGAAGAGATTTTTTTTGTTAAGAAATATGAGAAGAAAATTAGAATAAAAAATTAAGAAAATATTTTTGGAAAATAACCCTCCCCCCCCCCCTCCCTTCCCTCTAAACAATCATTCCAATCAAATTCAAAAATCTTACCTTGTCTCCCAACAATTTCAGCCACATGTTCACTACTTGGAACTTCAACAGAATCTGTAGAATGTCGAGGACCAAATCGAGCAAGCAATTGCTGTGGCGCCATTAAACCTGGTGAGCAAGGCGAACCTAAAGTATTTGTGTCCAATTCAGCAGACTGTTGAGGAGGAAAAAACCTTTAAAAAATAAAAATGTTTATGGAAACAATTAAATTTATTTATTTTGCCGATCGACATTCCAGGCAAAATTTTATTTATTAAGGGTACTTATTTAACTCCTCCCCCAGTCGATTTTTTGTGGAATATAGAATCGTCAAGCTGACAGAATGAAACCAAAATCAGCTAGAGGTTTTAACTTAGGGTCGAGAAAAACTGACTGGAGGGGAAGGACTAAATGAGTAACGAAAAAGATTTGAAAGGGATCTAGTTTTTATTTGACATTTGTTTTAGGTCAGACAAATGCCAGTCCGCAAGTGTGATCCACAAAAGTCGGTTTATATATTTATTTTTAAAAATTATTTCAAAAAAATAAACCAAGCTCCAGGAATTGTCTGTCCATTAATTTGTCTATTCTCAACACCAACATTATTTAAACTGTTCTGATTTTGTTGATTTAAAGTTGTTGTTGAAAATATTCCCCCAACAGAATTAAATAAATTATTATTTAATTGTTGTTGTCCATTTCCTCCCAATCCTCCACCAAATAAAGGAATTGGTTGTTGAGAATTTAAATTAAAATTATTTCCCTCAAAATTTGTCTGATTGGAACAAGGTTGTGGTGGTGGTGGAGATGTTTGTTGAAGAGGTTGTTGTGACTGTTGTTGTTGATTATTTAATGATATTTGTTGTCGTTGTTGTTGATTATTTATGAGCATTTTTTGAGCTTTTTTTTAAATAAATAAATTAAAGTCTTTTCCTCCTCTCTAAAATAAAAAAATAAATTAAAAGAGAGTTAATTGAAAATAAAAGCTATTTAAATGAGAAAAAAGATGGATTAATTTAAATTCTGAAAAATAATTAGCGGTGACGTTTAAATAAAAAAAAATAAATTAAAATTAATTCTAATAAGAGTTTAATTAATAAGGCAAAAAATAATAGAAATACATAAATGTTTGTTATTTTTAAAAGGATAAAATGAAAAACAAATACAATGTACATAAAGGAAAAATACCATTTATACCAGGCTTGGTAATGGATTGTTGTAGTGGTTGTTGTTGTGATAGGTAAAGATAAGTTCAAAAATGCCTGCGGATATCTGCTTGTATCCGCCGTAAATATTTGGATACGGATACCAAAATCCACGTCCATTACCAAGTCTAATTTATAATAATTAAATGTGAAAATTATAATAATTAGGAAGCGACAAGGATACGCGCACATATCTCTCTCCAGAATTAAAAATATTGTTATCAAATTTTGATTCCTTACATAAATTTTCAATACTTATTTTTAGCATTTTTTTCGTTAAATTTAACAAATTTCCACAAAATTCAAAAATTCACCTCAATAATAAAATAAAGTGAAAATTTAAAAAATTATTTAACAAAAAATACATTTAAAAACATTTTAAACATAAATTTATGTAATTTAATGAAAGAAAATGTCACATTTATTGGCTTTTGCCTAAAACATTTTTGCGCGCCTTTTTTCATTATTGACGCTTGGAAGAATATAGAGAATGGCGCATTGCGTGCATTTGAAAGGCTTTTATAAGTGAATATTTCTTTAGATATATATAAAAGAAAAATAAGAGGGGAGGTAGACATTAAAAATATTTTTTTTTATTTTTTTAGTACTACTTAATTTGAAGGACTTGGAAAAAGTTTTAAAGGGAAATTATGCTAAAAAATATTTTAAAATATAAGGAGGGGGGAGAGGGGGAAGGGGGAGTGACAGAAGGTGTATATTTTAATAGTTTACCCTTAGGTTGTAAAAAATAATTAGAAATAAACAGAAGTTAAAAAATAAAATCTGTTAGCCCCTATAGATTTGTAGAAATTTTATTTTCTGGATAAAAGATATACCCGAATCGGCTTGTCATTCAATTTACTAAATAGGACCAGACCTGCTCAGATAATATCTTAGCAGGTCAGATAATATCAGATATCAAGATGCCTGCGGCCTGTATCCGCCATAAATATCCGGATCAAGATGCCTGTATCCGCCATAAATATCCGGATCAAGATGCCTGTATCCGCCATAAATATCCGGATCAAGATGCCTGTATCCGCCATAAATATCCGGACATGGATACCAAAATCAGTATCTGTGAGCAGGTCTGAATCGGGCAAAAAAAGATTCAAAAAACAACGAAATTTTAAAAAATCTCCCCCCCCCTAATTTGTCAACAGAAAAATTTAAAAACCAAATAAAAAACTTAAAAATACAATCAGCGAGTTTCAATCTTTTAATTACTGGCTCAAAAAGAGGGCTTGTTAATTAACAATATTTTATAGTGTTTTATAGAGTAGAACTTTTAAAATATGAAAATGTATAAAACACCATAAAAACATTAAAAAATTAGACATTATTTTAAATTTATTAAGTAATATATTTAAAAAAAATTTTAAATATAAAAATATAAATGAAAAATATTGCGCACGAGGAATTAAAATGACGAAAAAATTAGTTAAAATAAAAGGATGAAAAGCCTGTACAGGATTTTATAATTATAATATATTCATTTAAAAATAAAAAGAAAATAAATGTAAACAAAAATTTAATTAAATAATATTTTTTAAAAATATAGTAGAGGATTTAATGTTTAGTTAAAAAGATAAGAATTTGTTTAATGTTTTGGTGTTTGTTGTTTTGGACAAAATATTTTGAAATAAAATAAAATGAAAAACGATATGCTGCGCATATCCCTGAGCGAGCTTCGGCTCGGTCCTCACAAGCAGTGCTTCGAAATTTCGATTTTGCTCGTACTTCGTACCTCCCCCATTTTTTGCTAGTATTTGTACTCGTACTTCGCACCAGTTATGAGTACGAGTACGAATTTTGGTACGAGTTTCGAAGCACTTCTTACAAGTATACTTTAATATTTTACCTTTGGTCGTAAAAAACATATACACACTGAAGATATATACGATAATACTTGGGGCGCCTACTGAATCTGAATCAGATTAAACAGATGAACTCGAATATCCTCGGACCAAACGACTAAATAAATTAAAATAAAATTCGTTAACGCTAGTCAAACATTACGGCTTTATATGAGCATGTATAAATTAGTCGAATGCCAAGTCTTAAATTTTGTATTACTATCTGACAATGAGACCGTAACTAAACTTAGAGATAGTTGGTATTCAAAAAAATTTGTTTAAAAATTTTTATTAAAAATAATTTAATTCTAATAAAAGAATTAAAGATTTAATAAGGAAATTTAAAAAAAATAAATTCCTTATTGAGTGCCTACTTTCCCACCATAAATAACAAAAAAGGAAAGAATAACAAATGGTTGGCGCCAATAACAAGAAGCAAATCGAAAACAATTTTTCGAATAAAGCCAAGGCTGTTTTTATGTCAAAAGCATATATGTATTTGTGTCTGTAGACATCAACAACTACTCCCCCCCTTTTTGTGCTTTACTATATAAAAGTGGGCATATGTAAAGTGTGAATAAATTTAAAGCGGGCATTGGCACTAAACAAGGAAAAAATGTAGATGTGTTTACTATGCCAAATTCACTAGCTAAATGTGTTTATACCTCAGACTTTGAAGTCTTATGTATTAGCTATAAAAACTTAACAAGTACTATTTTTCTCCACCACCAAGCAAAAAGATTCCCAATCTATGTTCTTGGAAAATCCCGAAAAAATCCCTGAAAGAATAGACTTTTTAGAAGGTTGAGGAAGAGAAGTCTATGTGAATTTGTCCCACTCAAAAAGTCAAAATAAAAATTTTTTTCTAATCTTAATCATTATTTTATTTTTGCCTATATTTTATGCGGTGTGTTAATTTTCTCAATATCCTGCTGAGTGAGAAGGTTTGAGAAGAGGAAAAAATGGGTGGGGTTAAATTAATAGGGGGTTTGATGAGGAATTGAAGTGTGAAAATAAAAAAATATAAAAATTTTAAATAATACAAATATTAAAAATATCAAAAATTAATTATGCCCTTCCGTTACCCCTTCAGCCGATTCAGTCACTTGTTTAGTTTTATCAGAGGGTTTTCCGTAGTTGCTAGGTTCGAATCCTAATTCAGGAGGATTATCTTTCTTTCGAAGAATAATTATGGGTTTTTAAAATATGTTTATCTTTTAAAAAATATTTTGCTTAAAGCGAAAAAAAAGACTAATTCTGGCTTATTTCTCTGTCCAGGTTATATGGAAATTCAAAAAATTTATCTTCAAATTTTTTTCAAATCTTTTGCAGCGCTAAAAGACCCACCAAACATTTATGTACAAGTAAACCGAGATCAAAAAATCTCGTTTCAGTCTACCAAAAACAGAATTTCAAATGAAACACTAAAAAGCATTCAGAAAAAATATTTGTAATTCTGAGTATAAGAAAAATATTTTCCTCCCCGCTGTCCCATCTTAATTTTTATTCCGTCTTCCATCTTAAACTTTTAAAATATTTAAGGGCCCATCCCTGTATATTTAAAATAAAAAAGTAATTTTTTTTAATTTTAATGGAAGGATTTTTAAGTAAAAATATATTTGTAGAAGTTATTGTAAAAAGTAAGTAAATAGATAAAGAAAACAAGTATTACAATGACAACAATAAAATAATAACTACATACACATTGTAGATGACCTCTTCCTCCCCCCCCCTATTCCCCCAATTTTTTCAAAACACAGAATTTGGATGGGTGGGATCAAAAGAACTGTGGATATATTTGCTTTTGAACCATTTCTCTAATACAAAGAGTATCTACATATTTTTCATTACAAATTGTGGGTAGCAATTAAAAGAAGTGCGCGTTGAAAATAGGAAGAGGATTTACTAAAATATATTTTTTGGAGATTTAGGTTGATTTTTGGTATGGACTTTTATTTGTTAATTAGACTTTTATTTGAAATTGATGTATGAAAGGGTATGAAAGAATTGGTTATTAAAAATTAGAATTGAACTTAGATAAAATTTAAAATCAAACTTGAAATTTGTTCAATTTTAACATTTTTAGAATCTTGATGAAGATAAAATTTTGTGATTAAATTTTGATTTTGACATAGAAGAGAAAAACTCTGAATTTTTAAATCTTTAAATTAATCATTTAGGGTTTCCGAGGCGAAAAATTTTATAAAATATTCTGGTCAAGGAGAGAGCACACCTTGCCAAAAAATAGGTTTAAATAAAAACTAATCAACTAACAATTATTTATTTATTTCGTTTCCCATAACCCTCAATCAAAAATATCAATCAACTTGTCAAGGATTAAATTAATTTTAAGTAGATGGATTAATTATGTATTTAAATGAACCATACAATTTTTTTACAAAATTAACTAAAATATATTGCAGGTATTTAAAACAAAAAATTTTTCCCCAAACCTCCGAATCAAATATTTTACATTAAGATAAAATTTATTTTAATTAAAAAATAAATTTAAGGAATTTTATATCTTTAAATAAATACCTTTTTTGGATTAGAAAATAATAATAAAAATAAATAAAAAAACACTCTTTTTCCTTTTTTCTTTCTTATATGGTAGAGGTGGATTAAGAAAAAGGGATTTAACTGCACCCAAGTGGTCAGAGCTTTGGGTCAGAGAGAGAAAGGATTTTTTAAATAAGAGGATTTGGTTTTTGAATATCCAAATAAAGAAAGGAACGGGTTCTCTTATTTGCCGTTAGCTTTTTCACAATTTTGTAGAAAAAAAGGGGAGAGAAAGGGTTACTAGTATTTTTATAGATGGGTTATATTTGAGAATGGAAGGACCGCCCGCCGGTCTTTTGTTAGCCATTAAAGAATAACCAACACAATAACCACACATTTTCTCCCATCCATTTTCTGGTTGTAGTAATGGTTATTCTGTTTGTTGTTAGTCTCATTAGAGAGGAAAATTCATGAAAAAATTTTGAATAATAAATGTATATGAATATATAATTTAATAAAAATTCATATGTAAATTAATTTAAAAATAAAAAATAAGAAATTTAAATACCGTAAATTCTATTTATATTACAATCTCCACACATTGCACAACATGTACAATTGGGATGGGCTAATTTCGCGTTTCGAATCTCTCGCATATTTCACATTTTTCAGATCGAAGTTTCGCCTTCCGCATTTCGCTTTTTATTTTTAGATTTCGCCTAGCCCTGATGTACAAGTTTAGAAAAAATACATTGAAAAATAGAAAAAAAAACATAGTGTAAAATAGGCTTTACGGTATTCTACATATACTATTTTTTTAAAAATCCTGTTCAATAAAGAAGCAAAATTAAAAATAGAATAGGTATACATACATATACTTGAAGATTAAAATCCATTTATTTTTTAACAAGAAAAAGCTTAAAATTTGTATGTAGGAGGCTATAAACTTGAAGAATTGAAAAAATTCGTTAACTCGAGTTATATGAAAAATAAATAATAAATTCGGATAATTTTTAAAAATTATTTTTCTTTAAATAAATCTTGGGTAACCTACTAAAAGCATTTTATATATTTTTTAGAGAAATAAATGTGTGTTTTGTGTGAGAGAATGGTCAACAACCTAAACAATGTTTGAGGAACGCGCAGCAACATATTCGCTTTTATGGTAAATTTTTAGGGGGAGAAAAATGTGAAAAGAATGGGTAAGTGGATGATTGGGGGGAATAAATAAAATAAAACAAGAATAGGCCCCTTTTCCTCCCAACCGGCGAACACATTAGCGAGTCATCCCCTCAATTTTTTTTCTTTTTTTAACTACTAGATAGGTTGTGACGGGAGGATTTTGAGGAGAAAATTGAAGAAAATTGAAGAAATATCCTTTTTCTAAATAGAGTTGTTGCGGTGCTCTGACGTTTTTGCAAAAATGTAGAAAAAAAAAGAATTGTGAAAGCCGCAACGATAAGTGGATGTAGAAAATTAAATGGGCATTATTGAGGAAAATAAAGTAAGTATAATAGAAAATATATATTTAAGTATAGTAAATTGTAAAAATAATGAATGCATTAATAATGGATGGATAATAATATATTTTTGTTTTGCTTATTCAATTCTTTAAATTTTTATTTTAAAATACATACACGAATATATAAATGAAAATATTAATATTTATGTAATTCTAAAATTTGTAGGGAGTCCCCAAGTATTATTAAACTTTTGAAAAATCAAAAAATTAGTAAATAAGGATTTAGAGAAATCTCAAAAAAATAATAGAGTAAAGCAGCTGGGCTAAAGCTATTTCTCCCCTTCAGCTCGTGCAAAAGGTTTTTCGGCGACTGGGAGCGAACCAGCATCTTCAGTAGACCTGACTGATTATCTAGTACACGACACCGCCTACTGCACAGCATTAGGATTTAAATAGCTTTGTATATGCTTTATAAAATAGAGTATTTTGAAAAAAAATCTTAGAATAACTTAGAAAACTTAACAATTTATTAAAAATTTAAGAAAAATTTTTTTAAATTTAAAATCAAAGAATATTTTTTTAATATTCTGAGAAATCAACATTTTAACTGGTTTTCTTTTTTATTATTTTCATCCCTTACATATGTGTGTCTTTTCACAAAAAATGAACAAAAAAAGTTGCTTATTTTTCACTAAGGAGTTATGACGCCTGGCACTAAAATATATTTTGTAGTATGTTTTATTTCCTTCTTATTTTTACCCCAACTGGCTCTTTGCTCTTTTTAAAATTTGCTTTCCCACTTATTTTCCTCTAAATCCTTCTTCCATCTGTCCCTTTCCCCCCTCTTTTTTACTACCCCAACCACCAACTTGCGAGCTTTGGCCTTGATAATATTTTAGTATTTTTGTGTGTGTATTATTTGTTGTTTTGTTGTCCCCCTTCAACTGTACATATACACAAACAATTGTGGTAAGTAAAAGTTGTTAGATATTCGGGAAAAAGGTTGGTTGGGCTTTGTCTAGTAGATAAATATAAAAATAAACAAATAAACACATTAGCGTCTAGTAGATATTAAATAATGGGTAAAGGAGAATGGAAATATGTATGTAATTGTACTCACAAATTAGGAAATATAAGAGATGAATTGTAATTTTGGATTTTAAAATTATAATTTTGTAAATATAATTTATTAGTTAGTATTTTATATCCTATGAAAGCAGAGTAGGCAATAGAGATAGTAGGTATTTTAAAAATCCTGGATCTGAATTTAGGCTAGTAACGTGGATAGGATTCAGGATCTCGATCCAGGAAAAATCCAGGACGATCAAGAAATGCTTGGATCTGAACTTTGGATCCAGAAAAAATCCAGACTGGATCCAGATCCAAACCGATCTCTAGTAGGCAATAAAACCCAAACTGAAAATTTAAACAATGTTTCTACATTTTTGGGGAAAAGAGCTGAAATCAAACGAGAAACTGAATACTGAAACTCTTTTCAAATAAATATATATCTAAAACTTGTAGTTAATACAAGATATTCACAAATATTTAAATCCAACTTGTCTATAAAAACATTCTATTAAACAAGCTCCCGAAATATCCCTCCCAAAATACATCCTCTCCCAAATTTTAAATAGTAATTGGCATTTAATAATAGACAACAAAAACTAAATTTATAATTACTTTGCGCAGAAAATAAATTTATTTTTGCTTGAAGGAAATTGAACAGACAAAATGGGAGAATAATGGAGGAAAATAATAATAATAATACAAAAAATATTGTGAATAGACAGACAATGCTCGGATGAATTTAAAAATATTTTTTATATATTTACTTGATTTTGAAGAACAAATTAATATATTACCTAAATTTTTCAATTTTAGAAAATAAAAATTTTAATAAGGCTATTTATATGTCCACAAAATTTAAAATGTTTTTGTTAACAAAAATTAAAGAAGTTTCATTGAGAGCTTCATCTGAAGAATACACCCTCTCCTTCTTACTATTTTTATAATAAATAAATATGTATGATAATGCAAACTTTTCAATGGATTCGTTAAATTTAAGGTTATAGCCTAAAGCGCCAAAAAAAGAATTCCTATTAGCCATCTAAAAATCCAAAACACCAAATCCGTTAAATGAAAGAGTGGAACCATTCCTATGGAATACAATGAATTATTGAAAATAGTGGTACCGGGTCATAGCGGTACCTTTGACAAACTTGTAAGTTTTAGGCATAAGAAGAAATGGAAATAAAGGAGAAGCGAAAGCGGGGAGATAACAGATAAGTACCGAAAAAAGCTAAGAATTTAAATATTTTCTGTAAAAGTTTTCAAAATATTTTCATTTAAATTTTATATTTTTCTTATGCCTCTTTCCCTAATTTCTTCTTTATATTTTCAATTTATTTTAGTAGAACCTATTTTCAAAAATATTTTCAATCTCCAATTTTCCTCATTTTTAATTCTCTCCAATTTATTTTTAATGTCTTGATTTTATTGCGGCGCTCATTGCGCTTAGAGAGTTCACCATCCCTTACCTTTCCCTCCTAATTTTCTTCCTTCTCCCAATATTCCCCGTTGGCGCCTCTTCACTATTTTTAAAGTTTTGTTGCATTGCGCAATTGGATGTTTTTTTTAATTTAGTAAAAAAAGAGAGGGAAAGATTGAATAATTGACTTCTTCAAAAAAAGTTTTTATAAATGAATAAAAATTTGTTGATTGAGGAAATGAAAAAATAATTGAAGAAAAAATTGTTGGAGGACGAGGAAAAAATTCTAAAAAAGTTGAAAAGTTTTTGAAAAAAAATTGTGAATAAAAATATGCACTTGATGAAGAAATGAATTGGAGATATTATTATTATTTTTTGAAGAAAAATAAATAAAAATTAAATTTAAAATAAAAAAATAAAAGAATAATTTAATGAAGAAAAGAGAGGAAGAATGTAGATGTGAGGGAAAAGTGTAGAGAATCTGAAGAGAATTGGGAATTTTAATAAAAATTTATTTTAAGAATTTTAACGTTAGAGATTAACTCAAAAACTTTTTTTAAAGTAAAATTTAATCCTCTTTGCGCAAAAAATTAAAAATAAAAAGAAAAATCTGCTTAAAAATTTTTAAAGGGCAAATTTAGAAATTTTTGAAAGGAAGAGACTTTAAAGAATTTATATTTTTGTTTAATTAATAAATTTAAAATAAAAAAATAAATTTTATTTAATATTTCTAAGTATATTTACAAGTTTTATTTAAATTTTATAATTATTATTGTGTATTTTAAGTGCTTTTCTTAAATTTTTGTTGCGATTTTAAGTGTTGCGAATTTACGTGCGCAAAATTATTATTTGAAAATAAATGACCTGAAAATAAAATATTTTTTTAAAGATTTTTGTTAAAATTTAGAAAATTACAAGTTAATTATTAATTTGTTTAGTGTAACTAAAACAGAAAATAAATACAAGAAATAATAAATTTCTAGTTAATGTTGAAGGTTCCGGAACCATAGAAATACATTTTTTGAAATATTTCAATTTTTCTTTTCACAATTAATTATTTAATAAGCTTTTTTTTATTAACAAATAGAAGAGAATACATATATTATTTTTAGAAAAAATTTAAAATAAAAACAGATTATGAACAAAAGTGCCAAAATATAGACAGATATTAATAAAAAAAATTTTAATTCCTAACGGAGCTTTTCGCGTTTTTATACAAATTCAGAAAGGAATATAAATTTTCACATAATTAAAAGCCCTAATATTTAACCTAAATAACAAATTTTCAAAAAAAAATTTTTTCAAAGTTACGATATTATTTGAAAATTTCAAATTAAGCTTGTCCCTAATTAAAATTCAAAAAATATTTTATTTGTAAAAATTTTTTCAGATTATTATATTTTTCAAAGGAAATATTTGTTAAGTAAAAACAAGAAAATCCAAAGTAGACAAAAATATTTTTAAAAAATATTTTATATTAATGGCAACAACAAAACAAAAATAAATTGGCCGTTCCTTTTATTTTTTGGATACAAAGTACCTAATATATATTTATTTAGTAATGTGGAAGTAATTCGAGAATTCCTTCTCTATTTTTTATTTAAAATTTAGACAAAAACAAATGGCTGTCAGAAAAGAAAATACTAAATTTGTAACAAATGTTGTTATTTTTTTAAATAAAAAAAATAAATTAATATTTATTAGAGTAAATAAATTTAAAACTCTCAAACAATTTATATTTTTTTGTTAAATTAAAAAAAAATTATTTTAACTTTCTTCAAAATAAAAAAAAATTTATTTTAAAGAAAAAGTATTTTTAATTAATTTTAAATTAAAATAAATATTAAAGATAATTTAAATTTCTTTAAATAAAAAATTCTAACGTATGATAAAGTGCAACCCCCTCCCTCCTAACTCCCTCCTCATTTCTCTTTATTTAAATTTCTCTTTTTATTTTCAATAATTATTGAGTAAAGGGCAACTGAAGGGATGATTCAAATTTATTTTTTGAAAATCATTTGATGAATAGGAATTGTTGGGAGGAGAAATTAATGTTTAATTAAAGTGTTTAAGCAGTTAAAAGTTGAAGAAAAAAATATAGAAAATAATTAAAGTTAAAATTTCTGGCTAAATTTTGGAGAAATTATTCTGGCTTGGGAATGTTGTGTGGCATTTGATAAAGGGTAAACTCATAGTTGAGTATTTTTCACACTAATTGACCGACCTGTTGCCATTTGAAATTAAAATTCCTGGCTACCCCCAAACTTGAATAACTTGAATGAATTTTATTAATTTTAGATTTAAGAAATTATTTTAAAAAAGTGATAGGAAATAAATTTATTTTTAATACTTTTGTTATTGTTGCCCTACCCAGGGATTGATGGAAGCCTTTTGAGAGGGAGGGAGAGTAGAAGAAGTAGACCACACCGCCATTTGCTTTTGTTGAGGAAAAAAAGATAAAAAAATGTCCAGCAGCGTTATATATATTCTTGTAAAATAATTCAACTTCCTCTCTTATATTCTTTTACAAAGGCAGATGGTCAAAATGAGGGGGGATTTATTGAGGAGGAGAGCCGGATTTGCCTTTCTGCCTGATGATTTTGAAAAGAGAAAATGGCAGAAAATGACGGTGAAGGAAATTGAGGGTATAAAAATTGAGAGAAAAAAGAGAGAGGGGAGGGGGGATTTTGTTGGGAAGGCTACTGGCCGGATGGACGCACATCTGCTATTTCTTCAACCTAAAGAGCCCTCCACTTGGCGACAAAGGCCATTTGAATGTGAAGAGAATTTGACAATAAAAAAATTTTAGAAAAAAATTGAGAGAATAGAAAAAGAATAAATATATAAATTAGACATTAGATAATTCGGATTCATATTTAAATTGGACAGTGAGAGATAGGGTTGCCGTTTTCGATTCGAGCCAACGTTCAGTGCATTTTTTCGAGCTTGGTTTTTTTCGATTCGGTTCGTTTTGAAGCTTTTCGAGCTGAAAAGCCTCGGTTCGCTCGATCTTTCAAGTTTCGGGTCGAGCGAGCAGGCAACTCTAGTGAGAGATATCTCAGACCGTAAAACAGCAAACGCTGACTGAGCTCATGTGTTTCACAGTAAGTATAAATTATATGTATATGGGAGAATTCTGTAGAATATAATAGAAATATACTCTCAAATATAAAAGTACCGGTGCTTCTAGAATCGAAACAAAAAAATTTTTGTTTGTTATTTAGAGAAACAAATTTTGAAAAAGTCCATTTACAAACACTTTTAAGTGCTTCTGTTACTAGAAAATTTTCATTATTTCCCCCTACTTAAACCATCCATTTTCGGCGGTGTTTCCCATAGACAAATGCGCAATTTGTGAGTGTTATAAATGTATGTGAATTATTTATTTATTTATGATGATGAAGGCCTTGATGTTAGTGACCAATTTATTTTTTGAAAAAATGTAAATTATGTGAAACATAATTGCCTACTGAAAAGGCTTTAATTAAGAAAATTGTAAAAAAATATTTTTGGAACTTGCGAAAGAGTTATGAAACAGAAAAATCTAGGGTCCTGGAAAATTTCCGGTCTTGGAAGTCTCTAAGAATTCCTATCTATAATTTACTTTTAAAGGTTCAATCAACGTGTAAATTAAACAATACAGAAAATTAAGTAAATTTACAGTTTTTGAATTTGTGAAGGTTAAATTAATGATTAAAAAGGAGAAAAAAGAAGAAAGTTTTAAACTCAATTCTAGAAATAAATAAATAAAAGTTTATTACAAATCTGTTTTTAAATAAAAGATTTAAATTTAAAAAAACTTTGAGACTTAATACAAAACAGATAATAGAAGTTCTTTTATTAAAAATAAATTGAAGAAAGAAGGGGCAAAATAATTTTTAAAAAAGACGAAAGAAAAGTCGTTGTTAAATTGCACTTTTTGTTTGTTAAAAAATTTTAAAGGAAAAGGTTGGAAGAAATAAAATTTAAAGAAAAATAAAATATTAAAAAAATTTTATTTGGATATTTTTAAAATAAATATTAATTTTTGTTTAAAATTTAAAAAGTTAAATTAAAATATTTAATTATTTAAATACAAATTCTAATTATTTTTAGAAAAATATTTTAATATACTATTTATAAATTTAAATATAATATTATATATATTCAAATAAAACAAAACAAAATAAATCTAAAAATAAATTTACAAAAAGAATATTTTAGAGTTTAAAGATTATAAATTATGTATTAGTTTATTTAAAAAAATAAATAAATGTTTGTTTGAATTAAAATTAAAAAGAAAGGAAAGAAAAAAATACAAGTTAACAATTAAAGAATTTAAAAAAGTTTATTTAAAAAGAAAGTTTAGGAAATTTGAGAAAACGAAAAAAAAATTTATTTAAAAAATTATTTAAAATTTTTAGTAAATAAAATATTGGGTAATATTAAAATAAAAAAATTAAATTTATTTTTTAAAAAATTTTTAATTTAATCAAAAATTTATTTAAAAAATAAATTAATTTAAATTAATTAATTTATTTTTTTTCCACACAAAACACAAAAAAAATTAAAATATTTATTTATTATCTAACCTTTATTCAATAAATATTTTTTCTATTTTTGGCAAATTTCAAAAGAAT